ATTTATGACGTAACCGATATCAGCGTCAATCAAAATTACGACAATTATTTATTTCTAAATGATATCGCCTTGGTTCACCTTAAAAGTCCAATTAGGTACAATAAGCTAGTGCAACCAATAAATCTTACGAAATCCGATGAAGGTCTTGAAGGCTTGCCGTGCACAATATCCGGATGGGGAAGTACAACGGTAATATCAAACTCGTGATACGGTAATTTTCTAGTTATACGTATTCACGAATAAAACACTCTTTCGAGAAATTTATTATTTCCGTTTTATGTGCATAATAACAAGTTAGAAATAATAAGTGAGAAGACATGCAATTATCTTTTTTAGGCTAAAGGAAATATTTCGAATAGTTTGCAAGAAATTGAGTTGACAGTTCATTCACAGAAAGAATGCGAGAAAATATATTGGAGAGTGTCAGACAGTCACATCTGTGCGTCCGCTATCAACGGAACAGGACCATGCTTCGTAAGCAATTAATCCTTAATATCATAAAGCGAATTGATACATATATGTTTTTCAATACAATATTAAAAGAATATCAATAATATAAATGATTATAATATTAAAAGCACTTAATTTTATGCCAATTCAATTTCTGTTTTAACGCTAAATCGATACATATTTTTAATATATCTTTAAGAAAATATAAATAATATAAAATATTATAATATTAAAAGCTGATCTAATTATATATCAATTTTTTTAGTTTTTACATTAAAAGTGTTATAACAATAATTTGCAATAATAAGCAATTTATTACTGTCATATAATATTAGTCTTAATTTTAATGTTAATCACATTTTTATTTTAGGGTGATAATGGTACTCCTTTAGTGGCTTATGGAGCTCAAATTGGAATCCTTTCCTTTACTAATACTTGCGCGAATGGAGACCCAGACGTTTACACAAGAGTGACCAGTTTCTTATCTTGGATCACCGCAAATTTGAAGACTTAAAAGATATTATTTATTTATTAAAATTCCACTTGGTCTTATCTAATTTACAATTTAATTAATAGTATAGTTAGAGCAAAATTATGTAAATTCTGTAAAATATATGCTTTTTCTATCATTAAATAAATTATCAATACAAAATAAAAACACATCAATCAATTATTTTTTTATATAGACTATTTTTAATCGCTAGCTTTATTCGCAATAAACAGTATTATTTTATTTATGATATGCAAAATTTATAAATCTGCATAATATTGTTACAAATACGTTTAATAAATTCAGCAAAGAAGATATTTTTTGAAATATAAATAAGAAGATATTTCATAGAGAAGAGAATGAAAATAGATAATTATATAAATTTCACAATCAATTGTCTTATACAAAGATTCCAAACTATATTTCGATTAAAATGACTTTAACGATCTCAAAATACTTTCCAATATTGAATCAGTGAAATCACACTGATTCCCAGTATACTTATTACTTACAACTGTTATAAACAATGAAGTATTTCAATGTTGTTTCATTGGTAATGTACTGATTTCAATCACTATAAAAGATAGTGTCTGAAAATTAGTGTGATTCCACCGATTCAATTTGAGAGAGTATCTAATCAAAATTATCTAATCTTTAAAATCTAATTTTTACATGTCATCATACATGTGGTATTGCATACATAACAAGTGCATATGTAT